CTACCTTTGATTGGACATCTATTTCACAGATAGCAAAATAGACATTGGCTGGGTGGAAAGAAAGGAGGAAGGTACTAGGTATGAGGTCTTCTAAGCCATTCTACTATGTCTTAAATGCACTAAGGGCTTTGTCATGTAAGGATCCACCAGAGAAATATAAAACGGTTGGATGAGATATTGTTTTTTAGTGGTGATGTTGTTCACAGTTTATTTTTACTTTTGTTGATTTTTTTTGGGGGGGGGTGTTGACTACATATGGAGGACAAATAATACACTTAGTTAAAATTGGGTGAGAATTTCACAAGTACACACATGCATATGAGAGAATATCAAGAAACATTTGAAAAAAATAAAGAGATCAAGGAGTAAAACATTGCCAACTATAGATTCAAATTATTAGCAGTAGTTTGAACCTGAACACTAAGCTCGTGTGATTATGTGCTGAGCACTACCTAACACAGTGCTAGTCACATTACATTTACTCAGTTTGGGTGAAAGTTCCATAATAAATGTGTAGATCAAGGTAACAAATCCAGGAGCCCAGAAACAGATCCATTAGGGTACATCCTACACAGGCAAAATAATAGAGCAAATTAATAGGAAGATGTGTGGAAAAGGATAGCTTTAGTAGATAGCATTGTGCATAACTTGAATTTGTCAATAATATTTGAATATGTACATCAGCTATATACTCAAATACATGCCAGATATATTAAATGGTTAAACAATAACTTTACAGAAACAATTCAGAGAAAAGTGTGTGTGTGTGTGTGTGTATGTGTGTGTATGTACACATGAATAAATAAAGCACTCTTTAAAAGTTAAGAAAAAATTCAGTAAATGTAAAATCATGTGAGTAAATAACTATGGTCAACATTAAAATTTAAAAAGCAGCTGTGGGCTGGGTGCAGTTGTGCATACCTGTAATCCCAGTGATTTGGGAGGCTGAGGCAGGAGGATTGTGAGTTCAAAGCCAGCCTCAACAATGATGAGGTGCCTTGCAACTCAGTGAGACCTTGTCTCTAAATAAAATACAAAATAGGGCTGGGGATGTGGCTCAGTGGTCAGGTGCCCCTGGGTTCAATCCCCAGTACCAACAAATAAATAAAATAAAATAAAATAAAGTAAAAAGCAGTTCTGAAGTACCATTTATATTAAAATAAACCATCCAAATATTTTAGCCAGATCCAATGGTGAGGAAGTTTAGTGAAAGTGGAATGCTTGTCTAATGCTGGTAGCATTATAGGTAATTTGAATCTCTTGATGTCATTATGGATACAAATATGAAGTCCAGAAAAATATTCTTAAATTTGATTTAATAATTCTGTTTGATAATACTATTTATTAGCATTGCAAATAAATAAAATTACGTGAAACATTCCCATATGTAGGAATGATGAAGAAAATAACATGCGGTATGGAATATTATGTGCTTAGTAAAAATGAGTACCATGCAAAGTACATAGAAATGAAGAGTTTACTTATGAAATATATGAAAATATAACTATGCAGAATTACATGTGCTTTATGAAATTCTATGGGAAATATACTTGCACTGGAGCAAATACTAGATCAAGATTTTTTTTTTAAAGAAAGAGGGAGAGAGAGAGAGAAAGAGAGAGAGAGAGAGAGAATTTTTTAATATTTATTTTTCAGTTTTTTCGGCGGACACAACATCTTTGTTTGTATGTAGTGCTGAGGATCCAACCCCGGGCCGCACGCATGCCAGGCAAGCGCGCTACCGCTTGAGCCACATCTCCAGCCCAGATCAAGATTTTTTAAGTGAGAATAATTCTATTTGAGTGGTAGGATTAAGAGTATCCTTCTGGCCAAAAAAGTCTTCAGTTTTTATTTTTTTTATTTTTATTTTTTGTTTTTGGGGGACATAACATGAGTATGCAAATAGCTATACTAACTCGCCAGGGGCATGGCTTTTCAAATATTCAAATGGTACTTTGAAAACCTGATAAAATATTATTCTTGATTTCCTTTTTCTCCTTGGCCAGCTTTTCACTAGGTTTGTAAAGAGGCCAGTTGACTGTAACCGTGATAAAGCGGGTGGAGCAGAGCATGTGGTTTGGGGGCTCTATTTTATCCTACTCTGTGGTCATTGTTGTCCCCCTTTCCTTTCTATCCTGAACTAAGAAGCCACTTTAACATAGATGGTGCTCAAGATGCTTGTGATACATAAGGCTGAATTTTTGTCTGTGGGAGGAGAATGGCTCCAGGGTGTGGAGACTCACAGTGTGACAGTAGTTAGGAAATCTGCTTCTGGTAGCCAAAGCTGGGCGGACTTCTGAGTGTCAGTTTCATCCTCAATAAAAGGAGTGTGTTTGATGACCACTGTGGGTGATTCCGAGCAGACATGAATCATTTATTGCAGGGTGTCATTTCCTACCCTAAAGGGTTCCCCAAAGTGAACTTGCAGTGTTGCAACAGACTAGTCTACTGAATTGCTTCCAGGGAGTGTCCTGTAAACTTGGAGAGTGTGGTTCCTGTGTCCTACCAGGATAAATTACTTAGTTAGAGAAAGCCATGGAAGCCCAGCATTGTGGGTGCATGTGATTTATTATAACAAGTCAGTGAAATAGACCAGTATGTTACCAGTGTGATTAAATATTACCTAATGCTAGATTACTCATTGTTTAGACCATGTAACTTGAAATGCACAATTCAGATGTACTTAGATTTTTTTTGATGGAGCCCAAATACCATTGATGGAGCACTGCCCACCCACCCATCCCAGTGTGGACAGTAGGCAATAGAAACGAATTAAAGGGAAGGAAGTTTAGTCTTGACCTTTCATCAGGCTATAAAATTACTTTAGGTGTTGCCTTACTGTATAGTGAGGAAATTGTAAGCAATCTGCCATCAATGTCAGGTGTCATTGCTTATTTTTTACTTTTCTCAAGAAATGTTACGTTGTGTTTTATATACTTGAGGGGTACCTGATAAACAGTCTTTTGTGTGAGTCAGTGGCAGTCATTTAAGTGAATCACCTGTATGAGTGACTAATGTATTTTGTACATATGCTTTTGAACTTTGATATGAGCTGACCATACTACTGCTTTTAGGCACTTTATAAATGCTGAAAATTTCCTAAGTCATTTAAAACTATTGACCAGGCAGACAATCTTAGGTTATGTGAAAATGAGAACATACTTGCTCCTGTATAGTGAAAAGCCTTTTCACATATTAGGTTAATGACTGGCTACTCACAGAAATTTAAGACCTCTTATATGGCAAGAATTACACAGTTAAAAAAAGAAAAAATAGCAGTACTTTACCTAAGAAATAATGGACAAGGACCTAAAAAGAATGGTGGACATAGATTTTTGTATGGGTCAGTTTCGCAGCGTACATTGAAAACTCAGAGGATATTTAAGGATCTTCAAAGTTCATTTTGCGTCATGAGAGAAAGTGTCCTCACTTGCTTTTGCAAAGTGACTAACCAAAAGAAAAGTTGTTAAGTAGTCTACTAGTATTGGCAGATATTCAGAAATGGTATTATGAAGCATGCTATGCTAACATTATTTGAAAAGCCTATGCAACTTTTCTGTAAAACTCCAGGAAAAATACAACAAATTGGAAATTGCAGACCATTGTTTAGGTGACTGTACTTGTTGATTCATTATGGTTTAAAATAGCCAAAGGATGGGTTGTGGGTGCAGCTTAGTTGTAGAGCACTTGCTTAGCATGCACAAGGCCCCGTTTTCATACCCAGCACTACAAACCAATAAAATAAAATAATAGCCAAAGCATATGTCATTTGTCTTGTCATACTAATAGCACAAACTCTGGGATAATAAATAAGACTATATATTTCAGAGGCCATACACATATGAGTTTCCTAAATAACTGCTTTTTGAATAGCAATGACTAGAATCCATGCATAGTTTTTCTTGGAAATTAGAATATATTTCCCATGACTACTACAACCTTTTTTTTTTTAGCAAATACTAGAAGTGTATAGCTGATCTATTTCAACCTTTATTTTTCTAATTCTGAGATTAACTATCAGCTAATTTCATGAATGTGTATAGTAAGGTTGGGAAATTGGCAGTTTATGATGAATTCCAAATTGCTTAATTAAAAAATCATGTATTTATGGCCTTGAAATTTATTTTCAAGCTTTCACTTGAATTTCATGTTCCACTTGAATGTTGTTGTGGTTGATATTCTGGGACTTTAAAATATTTGTAGGTTTTAACATACTAAGTCCACCCCAGGGAGTCCTGCTTCAGGAGTATCTAGAAACTGTAATTTTCTATCTCACTCTTCTGCTCAGCCCCCCAGTGGTTATTTTAGGATCTCTCCAGTTGGGGCATTGCTTACTTTCTCTTGAATATCCTATTGGAGATGAGATAGCAGTTTAATCTTTTAAATTCAGAAAAGGTGCTTCTACTGGTAAAATGAATAGAATAAAATGACAGTGTTTATAAGCCATAACTAAGCTATTTGTGAGTGGTTACTGGAGCACATACATTCTGTGGGAGACAGGTATCATTCTCAGAATCATTTGGAAATTCTTGCTTGTAAATTCTCTCCAGGACTGCTTGACCATTGTTATATTTAAACGATTGATCTAGTTAATAGTTTCTAGAGCCAGGTGTTAATAGCTTTCAGGAACTGCAACCTACACATTTTCATTGTGTCAGTAACTTATAAGAATGAGGATGATTCCAGGGCAATAATTTGCATCTTTTCCTCATGTCTGATTTTAAAATATCCTGATATTGTGTAGCTGTAATTTCCATGAGCCAATCAGTATGGAAAATAAACTCTTTGTTCACTTTTTACTATTGCTTGAATATTCATTTTATCCCAAACAGTAAAATTTAGTTTAGTTGACAGGTACTTTTGTTATTTTATAGTTTTAAGTAGCACAGTAACTTAGGAAAAGATATAGTGGCAGTCTTGATTTGATGTTTGGGTAGTTGGTGTAGGTTTTAAAGCTCCTCTGGTTTAAATGTTGTTTTTATTTTTCCTTTTCTTGTTAGGTGGAGTCTTTGCATTTTTTAAAAGATGGTGGTAATCAGATCTACTTGAAAATTAAGTGAATTGATTTGATTGGAACACTCGTTTACCAGTTGTTTGACATTTGGCCACTAGGTAAGTTAAGACCACTGCCTTCTGTGTGGTTTGAATTCCTAGTTCTGGGAAGGGTTTCTCAAGCACAGTATTCAGTAAACTTTCTGTGAAATTTTGATATTGATTATTTGGGGCCCTCAACACCTGTAGTAGATGTCTGTCTGGGGTGTTACCTAAATGAAAATATTTGCATGTCTTTATTGCAGTTTTGGAAATATTCTGATTTTAGCTGAACATTGAAAAATGTCATTTATGTTTTTAAATTGATTCTTTTATTTACTATTTTATTTATTGATTTATTTATTTGGGTGCTGAGGATTGAACCCTTGCACCTTGCACACGCTAGGCACAAGCTCTACCACTGAACTATATTCCTGGCCCCTTTTATTTATTATTTTAATGATGATTTGCCTGTGATCTTGAGGTGATGTGAGAATATCAGATTTGTACTTCCAGTGAGATTTTCCTGTGTAATTACATCTTCATCAGATTTGAATCTAAGGTACCATGAACTTTTTGAGTAAATTAGCATCTCACCTTATTCAACCATTCTTCTTTTATAGAAATTTTGGTTTCTGTGATAAGAACAGACATCTTTAAAACAATGCTTTTTTTATTCATACATCCTAGCTATACATAATATTGGAGTTCATTTTGACATAATTGTAAATGCATGGAATATATTTTGCTCCACTATAGTTCGAAGTGCTTTCTCCCCCCACCCCACCCCCAGGAATAGACATCTTAAGTAAGGACTTGGATCAGTTCAGCTCTCTTGTTACCCTGGATGCTATGGAAAGCTCCTGAGGTAGAGAACTCAGAACCAGGAGGAGTTCAGGCTTTTAGCAGATGATTGGTACTGCCAAGACAGAATTTAGTGGGAACAGGACTTTGGCTACTGTTAAAATGTCAGGATAGTAAAGCCTACTCTGTCAAACAGATTTTTGGCATCAGAAATCTAAATGATACTGATTTTAGGGCTTGGAAATTTTTTATTTTAACTCAGGAAAACTCATGCTTAAATTAACCCTTTATACTGTATACTGTAAGAGATGATTTGGAAAAAAAAAAGTTTTCCTAATTTAGGTCGGAAGATTTGAGTTTGTGAAATTCTGTTTTTTTTTTTCTTTCATGATTCTAAAATTGTGCAGCTTGTTACTTAATTTTTCTCCAAATAAACTGGAGCTATTTTAAAACCTGATGAGTGATAATGAATAAGATAGGAAAGTGTCTAATCATTTGGGGAGCCAACTTTCTTCCAAACCAAACCAACCAATAGCATCTGCTAAACTGTGAGCATCTTAAGTCTTGATGATATCAGATGGGGTTTCTTTGACAGTATTGTATAGTTAATGCAGGGCTCACCGCTGCCTTAGCTTGGTCTAAAATCATCCCCCTGGAGGCAACTGCCCTGGAACTTGATTTGTTAGTGTAGCTGTGAGCACCAGTGGGATTAGAAATATTGAGTATGCTTTTCATTTTTCTTGTAAGGTTCATGATTCAATACTTATTTGTTACCAAAACTTTGAACTTTTCATAGTGCCATTTGGAAAAATTTAGGGTAATGATTAAAGGGATATAAAACCGTTAGATTGAATTAAAAAAATCAAAAAGAGAAATGTTTAAAAATTTCAAAAGCAAGGACTTCATTTCTTGATAGCTGTATTAGATGTTAGAAGATGCAGATTAATACTCTGAACCACTAACTTAAATGTCTTTGCCACGTTTAGTTTTCTCTCTACACACCAGCTTGGCTTTTACAGTGATTCTCAAAGCAAACTACAGTGTTAAAGTTAAATTTCAATTGGTGTCACCTGATTTAAATTATGGGCAAGGTAGACAGTTTTATGAGTGCCTCCTGAGAATGGACCTGGCCTGGACATCCAGTGCAGATGGCTCCCCTGCCCACTGCACTGAGCTCTGAGCTGCTCTGACTTAGCTCACTGGCCACTCTGCTTTAACATAATTATTGTTCTGAATTAAATGAGAATGATACTTAATCCATAAGCATTTCATTGGTAAGCTTTTTCATGAAGTGAATGGAGCATATAACCAGAAGCCTCTTGCCAACTTCATCAGTGAGCCTAGCCATCAGCCCACGTGAGGATATTTTTTTTCCCCAGACAATAAAATCTTAAAATTTGCCCACTTTCTCTCACCACAAATTGGTACCAAATAGAAAATAGATTGTAAAAAAGGAAAATCCTCAACCATTAGAACGTTCTTTTTATGGTGTTTGTTGTGAGATCGTAAATACAGAATATTTTATCTTTCTAGTAATGCACTTTTCATGTTCTGCTGTCTTTCTTCTAATGCTTTTGGCTGGTCTTGACATTGTTCATTTTAGGGTACTGTTATTTGGAATCTGGTCCTTAACCATGTGCTTACATTTAAATTATCTCTGGTTGTAAATGTTTGAGAATTATGTAAGTGGTACTTCTTGGGAAGGAAGGTAAAATCTGAGCTATAGATGTATAATCTCTTTGAAGTAAGAATGAAGAATCCCATATTCATTTGAGAGTATTGGGTTTGGGGGTAGTAATTAACTTGCTGACAATTATATACCTATTACGGTTAGTAATTTTTGGTCAGAAATTATTGAGATCTTACTTGACACTAAAAAATCCAAAATACATAATTCTATTTTCAGTGGAAATTGCTGTATCTTGTGATTTCCTTGGACTCTTTGCTCATTCAGCCATCTCTTCTTTCTTTTCTGCTGTATCTTTATGTTTTTTTTTCTTGGTATCACTTAGATCAGTTAGGAAAATAAGATGAAGGAAAACTTTTAGTAATTCTATTTGGACACATTTTAGCTGTCTTATAATGATTCGGTAAGAGTGCAGATTAGATCTGCTGTTACCTGTGGGTGTACTAGAACTACTCCTGCCATCACAGATAATTCAGAGTAGATCTTACAAGTGCTAAGTGTTGTAAGTAGCCATCAAAATGTTTCTTTTATGGAGGATCATTTTTATGGCTTTTCAGATGCATACAGTTCTTCTGTCTGTATTTTAATGTAAAAAATATAAGGGACCCATAAATGTGGAGGAGAGTGGCTATATTTATGTTTGAGTATTTACTAACTGGTGTGGAAACATGGACTCTGGGCCCTGGAGCTGGTTCTGTCTGCTTACGAAAACTGCCCTTTCATTTGCTTTGCAGTCTATGTGAGTGGACCCTCATGGGTCTTAGCTTCTTAAGCTATGTGGTTTCATTTTTCCCAAACTATTTTTCTACGTTCTTTCATAAATTCCATTACATTCTTGATGTGGCTTGCAGTTTTCCATGCACTTCCCTTGACTACACCTTCATTCATTCGTGAATTCGACAAGGTATCCATTCATGTGTTCATCTGGCAGTCAGCAAACACTAATTAAACCTAGAATGAGCAAAACGCAGTGTGTCTTGTGGCCATCTGAAGCTCCAGCTGCAGGATGCTTTCTTACCATCTCGTGACATGTCCTTCCATCCATCCTTCCCATCTCCTTCCTTCGACTTGGCAGTGTAGGACAGCTTGGGGTGGAGGCACCACTTGTTTTCCTCTCACTTATCAAACAAAACTTAACCAGGTGAAACCAGGTGATCATAGGATCATTGCTTTTATAATACTGTGCATTAGCGCTCTGGTAGTGGCATACAAATGTACAAATATACAAATGGTGTCTCTACACATTATCTCCTTTGAGAAAAATTACTATTATGTAGATATGGCACACATTTTATTTTGTGTTATGAGGAAGTGGAGTCTTGGCGGGGAGGTGTTGCAGTTGAGTAATTTACTCAAAGTCATAGCCCTAAGTGAGTCACAGAGCTAGAACGGAACCCTGGCTCTTCCAACTTCAGACAGCATGTCACAATCACTGCGAGGTCACTGGTCTAGTTGACTGGTGGTTTCCAAATACTGGAGCCTGGTAAATGTGGTCACTCTATTCTGTTTAATATGATTCATATAAGGAAGTAGAAGCCATACTGAACTTTGGAGAAGAGTTACATTTTATAATCTTGGGAAGCTTGAGCTGGTCCAGAGTAGTGCACTTAATGTTGTGCTGTATGAATGCGAATTCTCCAGCCCTCTGACAGGTATGACCTGCATTCCCCTGATCTGAGACACTCAGAACCTCTAGCAACATCCTTGTAGAATTAAGATCAGCCTCTCGAATCTGATTCTCATGGCGGTTGCAGTTTTTACCATAAATTTCTAAATTGTCAATTGGACAAAATTCCCCACAAAGAGATTTTCATTTTATCTTTGTACTTGATACAGTGTTGACTTCTCATCCATGAATTCCCAAAAGATAAATTGCATTTTCTGCCTCACCTATTATTTGCATTATTGGTTAATGCACTTTACCAAGTCACACTCTGGTTACTTCTTTTCTTTTGGAGTTACCTTCGTATTTTATTTCATCTGCCTTCAGAATCCCTTTAACACTTCATATTTTTCTCATGTCACTTTTTACATGTATTTCTGTGCTTGCACTTTATGCAACTTAATTTATGTGAGGTTTTATCTCACATGCCATATTGTATGCTGCTCGAGGGCCAAAGTAGGTCTTTATTTTGTTGGTCTCCTCTTCAGCTTTAAAAAAACGAATGATTTAAAAAAATAGTGTATACTCAATAAATATTTGTTGGATTTAACGGAATATTTGGTTGTGGGTTTTCTTTGAAAATTAATTTTGGGGTCTGAAAATTGCTATCTGGGCACATGTTTAATTTTAATTCCATTAGTGAGATGAATCAGCAAGTCTGATACTTATTAAATATCCAGAGTAGAGTCAGAAGAACAAATTCATAATTATTTGTAGTGTTTTTTTTTTAATGCAAAAAGCTGTTCTTAAAGTAAAATAATAACACTCTTCCCCACCAAACAAAACTAAAACCCCTGCCTTCCCCTGACTTGGCCATGGCAATAATAATAATTGTGCTCTGAAAAGATACAATGAGGTGAAATGAAACATGGCCTGTGAATGTGAAGGGCTCCTGGGGGTGCTGGTGTGGGTACAGTAGTGAGGCAG